TATGCTCTTGGATAAATATAATATAATCATCCAAAATTTTACTTCTTCTATCTCTAGTATATTTTCTTAATGGCACTGGTTCTTGAGGTTGTGAAGTTTGTTCTTCTAAAATAACTTTTTGAGCAGGAATAAGAAATATAATGACATTGTCTAAAATTTTGCTTCTTGAGCATTGTCAGGTATAAGAGTATGATCCTTATCATTGTCAATAGCAGTTGAGGGAATACCAATGTATTCTTTTTTCAAAAACAACGACCAAACTCTCTTTCCTCCTACAAACTCAACATCCTCAAAGAACCAGATATTTTGTCTCAAAAATTAACTTAGTCATGGGATTATAAAATTTGTAACCCCTGAATCTTTCAGAATATCTAACAAAATAGTAACTAACAGTTCTTGAGTCTAGTTTCTTTTCATTGGGCCTATAAGACCTTGCCTCAGCTGGACATCCCCAAATGTGTAAATGCTTTAAACTGGACTTCTTGCCCATCCAAAGCTCATAATAAGTCTTCATAATTGCTTTAGTTGAAACTTTGTTAAATATATATGTTGCGATCTTTAATGCTTATCCCTAGAGATTTTCAGATAAGGTAGAATAGTTAATCATGCTCCTCACCATATTCGTAAGTGTTTTATTTTTCCTTTCAGCAATATTATTCATGCTTGGCGAATCCAGTATGGTGTACTATGGGACGATACCGCAATCCTCTAGGAATTTAGCAAACAATCCTAAATGTTGTTCACCTAATATGTCATATCTGCCATAGTATTTACCACCACGATCATATTTGACAACTTTAATCCTTTTATTGAGTTGGTTCTCAACTTTAGTTTCATAATTTTTAAACACATCCAGTGACTGTGATTCCTCATAAATTAGATAAAGGAAGTCATATCGAGTAAAGTCATTTATGAACGTTATAAAATATTGTTAATCATTCCAAGAAGCCGTAGGAAATAGTCCAAAAATATATGTATGTATAAGTTCTAATACGACCATAATCCTGTTGGCACCAAATCTCTTAATGTTTATCTGTTTCTCCTTTATGCAATTAACATACATGTCAAAATCCACAAAATCAAGAGGAGAAAGAATTCCATTTGGCACAAGTCTCTCAATTCTTCTTTTGAAGAGATAACCTAACCTCTTGTTTCATAATGAAGCAGAATTCTCATTAGTTAATATACACTTTACACCTCGTGTACTCACATGTAATAATTCATTAAAAGAAGCAACTGTGTCAAGTAAATATAGATTATTGTAACCTGATAAAAAACCAGTACTAACCAATTTTGAATCATGAAAAAGACTAAACTTTTTATTTTTAAATGAACAACAATATCCAAATTTGTCTAAAATATAACAGAAATCAAATTCCATCTAAATAATGGTACAACAAAAGTCTAATTTAAATTCAAATAAAAACAAGTTCTTAATAATAATCTAAATGTTCCAATCGCTTTAATTTTTCCTAACTTGCCATCACCAATATAGATGTATTTGACATCATCACTTGGTTTTTGACAACTCAGACAATCCTGCATATATACATTAATTTGAGTTATTGCACTAAAATCTATCCACTACGTGTGTCTATGTACCAAAGTTAAATTAACCTCATAACAAATAAAGTTAATAAACATATATTTTTTTGCACCACATGAGTGATAGTTGGTGCACTGTTTTTTCTGATGATCTGCAGCTTTACAGAAGAAACATATATCCTCATTTTATACTTTATGTTGTTTCCTTTGTGGTGTTAGAACTACAACATTCTTATCTTTTTTTCTCTTATTGTTCCTATTATCCTTAGAGATAGTGGCTAAGTGAGAACTTGCTATCTTCACATGCTTTAACCTTTCCTCTTCTTGTACACAGTGTGAGATGAGCTCTTTGAAGGATCAAGAGTCCTTTTAATAGTTGTAGCTCTCGTTGAATTAAGTAAATATGGTGGAAGAGATATCACAACCAAGTGCACTAGCAAGTCTTTAGATAATTCCAACTTGAGTTCTTTTAATTTTGAAATAGTGTGAGACATTTTCATAATATACTATTTAATGTTTCCTTTCCCTTTGTACCTCATCGAGATAAGGTTTGCCAAAAGTGTACTTGTTTCAGCCTTCTCATTCATAGCAAATTATTTCTCTAAGTCCTCAAGGAAACCCTTAGTCGTAGTTATCTTATCGGATATAATGCCTCGAAAAGCTTATAGAATGACACATTCATAATCATGAGATTTATACGGTTCGATCGTTCCCACTTGTCAAACTCTCTATTGGCCTCAGAGGTACTCTCATTAGTAAGTTTAGTGGGTTTATCGACCCGTAAAATAAGGTCTAGATCCATGACTTTAAGAACAAATAAAATATTTTCTTGCCACATCTTAAAATTTGTGTCATTCAATATAGGGATTGAATCCACATTCCCAGAGATATTTGCAGCAGAACCAGAAACTGAATAGAAAACAAACAACAAACAAACAAACAAAACTCACATAAATCTTTAAATCGAAAATAATAATAATAAATCTTCATTTGAGCTGATTTATAGTTCACATACAAGACAGAATAACTTCTATGTATTTATTACCACATGTAGGATTGAAATCATATTAAACATTAACATTCATTTGGGCTGATTAACATTCATATAAATTACACTCATATAACTATTTACATTATAAAATAAATAAATTTAACATAATAGAGGCAATTTTAGTGGCATATTGTGTAAATTGGTTCATTTTAAAATGTATACACATATACCAATATTTGAATTCAAAATTACACCAAAATGATTCCTTACAACAAAGAAAAATATGTCTAAAATAACCTTAAAATATATATAAAATTATCCTAAAAATAAAAAACTATACCCTTTATTTTTTTTTTGTCTGGTCAACGGTTAACTGTTGATCGGTCAAAGTCATGTTGATTGTTGACCACTAACCATTGATCGAGTCAGGTCTAAACTAGGTCTGATATGGACTAGGTCGAGGTTGACCAGTTCAGGTTGACCTGGTTGGCCCCAACCCCAACCGGTTTGTCATTGGGCACACCCGAATATGGGCTTCCTCCTTCCCTCCTTTCTTTTTCTTTCTTCTTTGGCCTCAAACTTGGGCCCAAAGCTTAACCCGGCACTGGCCCATTGTGTTTTTGCTAGCTATTCAGATCTAAACCCGACCCAAGTAGGAACTCACATGGTAAATTAAAACCCAACAATGAACTCTTGATTCCTAATGTGATTTGAAGTTGAAATCTACATCTTAATGAGAAGAGTGTGTGGTAAGGATTATAGCAAAGTGAATCCAGTTAAAAGTGATATGATACAGTTAATGGTATATTGAATAATGCATAAATTAAAATGTGGACTTTTTATGTGTAAATACCAGAGCTG